CACTAACCAAACCCACTTCAGCCCTGGAAATGCTCGTGCAACAACAAAACCAAATGCACGCGGCAATTTATCAAAACAGGCTAGCTAGCACTAGACTACTTATTAGCAGAAGAGGGTGGAGTCTGTGATAAGTTTAATATCTCTAACTGCTGTCTTAACATAGACAATAACGGAAAAGCGGTCTAGAAATTGCTTCAAACATCAGAAAAGTAGCCCATGTACCAGTCCAGAGCTGGAAGGGATGGGACCCAACAAACCTTCTAGAAGGGTGGTTCTCTAATTTAGGAGGATTTAAAACGCTGGTAAGGACAGTAATCTTCATCATTGGGTTCCTCTTGTTTCTCTCCTGTGTTACCCCACTGATAACAAAAGCCATTAAAACTCCTGTTGAAACTACAGTTAACTGCCAGACGATCCAGATGAAGCTCTTGCTACAACACCACTATGGATACTAACCCATCTCTCAAGAATATACAAAAATTAAATTTTTCTTTTTCCAAGGTACCACACCACCCCTATGTCATGCCTGAAGTAGTTATTGAGAAAGTCTCCCTTTTCCCTTTCCTATAACCAAACAGACAGGAATGTAAGATTCTCCCCAGGGCCTAAAAGTTTAAGGAGATGAATAACTCCTCCCCTCTCAGGCCCAGTCCCAAGGTGCAAGGCTACTTGCACCAGCAGTGTGTGCCAGCATGATAGCAGAAGCAGGAAGAGAGCCAGCTGGAAGACACATACCCCTGAAGATCACTGAGGATCGAGAAAGAGACCATCTGGGTAAACGTACCCATTATGTCAGACTTCCTGTTTACAGGAGACTATAAAACCTTTGACCCATCCTCACTTGGGGCTGAAGCCATTTTAGGCCTCAGCCATCCTGCACCCAAGTGCTCATTAAAATAGCATGTTGCTCCACACCGTCCCCTGTTGTCTATTGGAGCGCTCTCGGGGTTCGAACCGATACAAAAACCTTACAATGAGGACTCTAAAGAACAATTCCCATTTCCTTAAAAACACGTATACGCACACACACACACACACAGGATTGTGATGATAGCGTGTGTAAAGGACAAATTAACTTGTAGGGTAAGGACTGGGTGCTTGATATCTTAAATGTATTTTTTATTTTTTTTGAGCTTTTCTTGTGTGGCCTCTGGCCATGGCCATGATCAATGGGCCTAATTGAAATTAGGCCTCAGAGAGTTAGACTGGTTTAATATGGAAATAAATGAAGAGAAAAAACTAGCAGGTTTCATTGAGCTAAGAAAATGACCCCGAAGCAAAACTTCTTGCCTTTGAATCTAGCTTCAATATAGACAAACTGTTTGATCTTGGGGAAGTTACTTAGCTCTGCTCTTACTTTCAGTTTCTTCATACGTGATATATGTTTCCTAGTAGTACCCATATTACAAAATTGTCATGTGGATTAAGTGGGTGCCTATTTGTCAAGCATTTAGAATAGTGCCTGGCATAGAGAGCACGTGATGAAAGTTTGTGTTACATAAACTGAAGCTTTCCCGTGAAGCAGAAGAGGCTAATTTATAAGGAAGTTTCTTTACATCTGCACAGTACAGCAGACCATGGAAAATTCTTGGTGCATTTGGTACTCCTTCAACTCCTTTCCTTTCTAGTCTAAAGTTTGCAGACAGGCTGTTATTCACATGCCTGCCAAGAGATTTAAACAAAAGAGAGATTCTCTCTCCATGATAAGTCTCAAATCTGTTAAAAGTTGGAAAACAGGGAACAGCAGATAGAAGATGGCCAATAGCACTAAAAATAAGCCATAGCCTCAAAACTCTCTAAGCTTTATTGAGGTTTATCAAGACATTGCCCCCATTTGGGGATATACAAACACTAGATGTCTAGTTTACCCTTCTCCACCTATGTGAAGACTAACAGAGGAAATAGATAGGAAAGGCCTAAAATCAGCTTCTTAGAACTTTGTAAAACTAGTTCAGAGGATAGGACCTTCAGAATCTCGAGGACAAGGAGATAAACCTTAAAGGACTAGGAAATATGGCTTCCTTGATAAAGGCATCACTTTGGAACCAAAGTGGCTGCCAGTAAATGTCCTCAATTTTACTACCTGGCATGTGGAATTTGGTCAGTCACATATGTGAGCAATAACGGTTAGTTATCTAAATGGGCATACAGCTATTGGGGCAATAAATATTTTATGAGGGTTGTGTCAATTGTTATTTGTTTTAAAATGCTTTCATATCGGGCTAGCCACAATGTGTTTTATTATGTATTTGAAAGCATTGGATCTTTTGTACCTTAAAAGTCATCGTCTATTTGAAGTCTTCTTGATGCAAAGAAAAACTCTCATTTAAAAAATTACCACAAAAAACTTTTTTGTGTTAATTTAAAAAAATTGGCCCAACACAGTGGCTCCTGCCTATAATCCCAGCACCTTTGGAGGCTGAGGCAGGCAGATTGCTTGAGCCCAGGAGTTTGAGATCAGCCTGGGAAACATAGTAAAACCCTGCCTCCTCTGAAAATACAAAAATTAGCCTGACATGGAGGTGTGCGCCTGTACTCCCAGCTACTCAGAAGGCTGAAGCGGGAGAACAGTTGAGCCCAGGGGCTCAAGACTGATGTGAGCCATGACTGAGCCACTACACTCTAGCCTGGGTGACAAAGAGATACCCTGTCTCAAAAATATGATAACAATAATCATAACAATCATAATAATTGCTTGTTTGATTTTGGCAAGATAAACTCATGGTAACAAGCATACTATACTTCTCTCTTCTTCATCCCTTTCTAACTCTGAATAATATGATTGAAATTCTTACTTATAGAAAACAAAAAAAACCCTCATATCTTTGTCTGCTTATAAGCTTTTAAGAAACCATAATTATTTTTAGAAAATGCTGAAATAAATTGGAATAGTTTGACAAACACTTTTGATCCTGTTAGACTAAACAATATTAACCTCTGTTATCTATGTTTAAAATGATTATTTTAAAGAAATTAAGTTATATATTCACCAGGAAAACAGTAATGTAGACAGTAAAATGTCTCCTCTTCAAAGTTTCCTTTCTTGTTAAAGAATAAATCATAAGTGTTAGAAATAATAGTTTATTTTAAAGATGAACTTCCCTCAAGCCCCCTTGCTTTATGCTAATAACTTTGTTAAGCCCTATCTATCTTATATAGCTATTAAACATGCTCGTCAGGCACGTAGTACATTCCATGTCCTTGTACCTTCACCAAGATATTTGTGTTGGATGTGCTCATAGGTATGTCCCAGTTCACAGCCTATGCTCCTTCCTTATTTGGAAAAATTATTATTTTTGTACCTATTTTTAAAAGTTTTAAATTATTAGCCAATCAGATTGTAATTTAGATTGTGAGGTCTGACTCTAGCCAATGGAGACAGGACACAGCAATAGGGACCTCATGCATAAGGAATAAATATTCTGGTGTTTCTTTATTCTGTGTATGCCTTTGCCATTGTTCCATCTGTGAGGGGCATCCTTTCTGCAGAAAGTAAAAGTTGCCTCACTGAGAGAACTTTTTGTTTGAATGCTGATTTTTTCTTGCAGAACTGAGGAACAAACATTTTGCATTTCTAACAAGTATGAAAATTTTTTGTATAGTGTTTTATTATGGATTTATTTTACTTTAAATTACATGTGAATAGATAAAGAAACAATATTAAGAATTAGCCCTTTAAAGCATGTATAAATATTATTAGTTTGTAAATTTTTGCAACTGACTTTTAAAATCCTTTTTAAGTTGATATATGCTTTTGAAATGAGCTCATGTTTATACAAAGATATTAACTTATTTAACTCCTGTTAGTATTTCAAAATATATTATTTAGTCATTTATCTCGATTGATATAGCCATCTCTATTTCTGTGAACATTTTGGTTAGTTTTTCAACTGAATTTTAAATTCCAGATTTCCTGTTGCTCCCTGAATCTGAATGGATATTTAATGGGAATTTCAGTAAGTGTTTAATTTCCATCACTATCTGTAACTTCACAACAACAGATGATTGACTTCAAACCAACAACTTCATATTCCACTACTTTGAGCTTACTTAGGCATCACCTCCCTGTAGTTCCCACCTGCTTGGAGTTTGAGAACATCTGTATCCTGCTAGCTACTTATACTCAAACCTTGCTGGAAATGCTGGTTTAAATTTACATAACTACTAAACCTTGTGATATGGTGTGGCTGTGTATCCCCACCCAAATCTCATCTCAAATTGTAATCCTCATTATCCCCATGCGTGGATGGAGGAACCTAGTGGAAGGCAATTGGATCACAGGAGTAGTTTCCCCCATGCTGTTCTCATGATAGTGAGTCCATTCTCACAAGATCTGATGGTTTTATAAAGGGCTCTTCCCTCTTCACTTTCTCTTGCTCACCTGCCACCATGTAAGACATGCTTTATGTCCCCTTCGTCTCCATGACTGTAAGTTTCCTGAGGCCTCCTCAGCCTCAGGAAAGTCTGTGAGTCAATTAAACAGTGAGTCAATTAAACTTCTTCCTTTTTAAGTTACCCAGTCTCTGGCAGTATAGCAGTGTGAAAATGGACTAATTCACCTTGCCTTCTGAAGTAGGTTTGAGAGCTTCCTGAGCCTGAAAGGGAATGGAGAAATGACTTAAAGCCACCAGCTAATTGGGCTTAATCATTTGCACTCAATTGACTCTTCCCCTACCCCCACGTCTAAACCAAAGAAAGGATCATCCCATATTTACATAGCACAAAGAAATCTACTCTTCTGCTCTTTCTAGGATGGCTAAAGGCCATGGGAACTGGACATGAGGATGCTGTGGGGGAAGGACAAAGCCCAACATCAACTTGGACAGTTTGCTAACCTGTTTATGGTAAGTTGATATCATTCATGACCACTCCTAATGTGTGCCAGTAATAAGCTATTCCTGATGCCAGAATCTCTTACTGTTAGTGCCCTTTGTAGGCCTTCTGACCCTTACTCCTTGCTCCACCCACTGTTTATATCATGTGGTTTTCTCTCAGACCCTGATATAAAGCTCCTACTCTGTCTGACCTGACAAGCCACCTCAAGTGGACAAAGCACTTACCAACAGGTAAGGGGGCATTACAGGAGAAGAGCATGTCTAACATGGGATTTTCTTTTCATTTTGAGGTAGATACAGGGTGATTTTCTCAATAAAAGATCCCAGTAGTAATGAAGCTTAAGCAAAACCAAAGCTGATTTTGGGTAATTTGGCCTCTGTTATCCCCAAACAAAAGAGAAATATCTGGGAGCATAGCTATCTCAGTGGACCTTCCTGGTCACAGGAATTCCAAGAGGAGAGGATGTTAGAAAGATAATAGGGGCTCTGCTCTCTTCTTCAAACCCTCTTCCCTGTGTTCTCCTACAGAGATTGCTGATTTGCTCCTTAAGCAAGAGATTCACTGCTGCTCAGCATGGCTCAGACCAACTCATGCTTCATGCTGATCTCCTGCCTGATGTTCCTGTCTCTGAGCCAAGGTGAGATTTTTTCCTCCAGTCCTCCCACAACCCCAGCTCTGAAGTCTTCCCTCCCCTCATGCATAGGGTTCACTTGAAAAAAAGCAGAGTCAACATCAGAGGTTGTTTTATGTTGTTCAGTGATCATTATGGCTGATCTCATCCCATTCAAAAACACCCTCATTTCATTCATGAGTTTGAGACAGAATTTAATAAGACCACTTATAGGTGACCATTGTGGTTGAGTTTATCTGATTGAATCTATATGTGATGGTAGTTGGATGTTTTTATGTAGTCATTGATAGGATGGAGAGCTAAGGCAAGCATGTGCAGGGAAATCAAGAGAAACTTGAGAAAGGTGGAAGACTGGGTCTTTAAAGGCAGAAGCCTGAGCCTCAGAAATAAAAGGGAAAATGAGGACACATTTCTTTAGCCTATTCATTGCAAGCTCTTGTCTTGAGCAGAGGAGACTAGAAAAAAAAGAGATAGGATGCAGGGGGCAGAAGTAAGGAATCACTCCAGTACACACTGTATCAGTATGTTCTTATAAAGGAAACTGAAAAGCCCCTAATTCACCTTCCAGCCTTTTCCTTGCCCTGAGAGTCTTTCTTAATTATCTCTTTTTTCCCCTCAGGCCAGGAGACCCAGACAGAGCTGCCTAATGCCCGAATCAGCTGCCCAGAAGGCGCCAATGCCTATCGCTCCTACTGCTACTACTTGAATGAAGACCCTGAGACCTGGGTTGATGCAGATGTGAGTAAGGACAGCAGCAGGGGAAGGGAGGCTCATGAAGGTAGTGGCAGCTGCTAATTTGCAGTGTGTTCTGTGGCTGCAATGAGATAAGATTGATCCCTTCCCTATTCCACCACTGGTCCAAAACTTCCCAATCTACTTTATCCCATTATTTAACACATTCCTAGCACAGAGATACTGGTGGTCAGTGACAGCATCACCAGGGACATTTCTGTGCTGTCCTTTTTCTGTTACATCCTCTGGAAGATCTCAGTAGATCCTTCACACCTTCCTCCTCCACTGAGTGCTCCATTTTCTTCACCTACAGCTCTACTGCCAGAACATGAATTCAGGCAACCTGGTGTCTGTGCTCACCGAGGCGGAGGGTGCCTTCGTGGCCTCACTGATTAAGGAGAGTGGCACTGATGACAGCAATGTCTGGATTGGCCTCCATGACCCCAAAAAGGTCAGTCTGCAGCCTCCTCTATCTCCTTATAAACATTTTTGAGAGGTAAGAGGGGTGTTTAAGGTCTGGCACCTCGAGCGCCAACTTTTATCTTTTTGTTTTTCTAAATAAAAGAAACCTCTTTATAGATCCTATAATGCATGAGTTGTGAAGTTCAGTGTAGGTAGTTAGAGACATGAGCTGAAGGCTGAATTTTCTGGGCTCCTGGGAATTCATGCGCACACTCATTGTGTCAACTTTTAGAAATGCATCTTTATGTACAACTTCTTCCCTATTTTGCTATTGTCTGTCTTGGAAGAGGTCCCTCTGTAGACTGTATAGGAAAAGAGTAGTGGAGGAGAAATCTACTGCTGGCATTTGTTATACATTTTATACAAAAGTATAAAACTGTACAGTAGTTGTTGATATATTATTTAGTTTAACACTTATAGTGTTAAACTAAACACTTATAGTGTTAAACTAAATAATATATCAACAACTACTCTACAGCCAATGTTATGTTGTATATGAGAGTTCTGAGCTTCAGGAAAAAAGATCAGAACCACTGTCTGTAATGGGCTTTTATGGGTCTCTGTATCAAACTCTGAACACTTATTATTTGCTGGAAGAGGAGGAGGAATTTGGACATTCCAGAGAAGGAGCAAAAGCAGAGGAAATAATACGACATTCATGGTGACAACAATGATTATTCTTTCTGCTATATCTTGGCCTGTTTCTGAGTGTGCACACAGGCCTGGTTATTCTATTGATTTTTGAGTGACCATGGCCCCTGTTCTGACCCTTCTCCACCTAGAACCGCCGCTGGTACTGGAGCAGTGGGTCCCTGGTCTCCTACAAATCCTGGGACATTGGAGCCCCAAGCAGTGCTAATGCTGGCTACTGTGCAAGCCTGACTTCATGCTCAGGTGAGAGGCAGACAATCTATCCACCTGTTGTTATTTCCCTCCCGCTTTTCTCTGGGGATGAACATGGGAACTGGGATAGAGGAAAGGTGAGCTCTTTACCTGGAAAATAAAGGAATATTTCCTCTTGTTTTTTGTTCTGAGTCCTAGGTCGAGGAGGGGCTACCCTCCTTCTGATCCTCTCTGTCTGACTCTTCTCATTGTTCTATAGGATTCAAGAAATGGAAGGATGAATCTTGTGAGAAGAAGTTCTCCTTTGTTTGCAAGTTCAAAAACTAGAGGCAGCTGAAAAATGGATGTCTAGAACCACTCCTGCAATTACTACAAAGTCAAAAATTAAACTAGACTATTTCTCCAACTCCATTCAGACCATCTCCTTCCTAATGAGTTTGCATTGCTGATCTTCAGTACCTTGACCCGTCCCAGTCTCTAGAGCCCTGAAAAATAAAAACAAATATATTTTTCTCCATTGTTCTGTCTTCTGCATTTGCTCTTTATACAGCCCATGCTTGGGTGGTTGGAGTGGGAATGACTGTCACACTCCAGAGCTTGCCCTGGCCCATCCGTTTGTTAAAACCCCACTCACATTTTATGTATGTTGGGCTTATGAACATGTGGTGGCCTTGTTTATGACAAGATAAAAAGATGAAGATTTCATCCACAACACATGTTAGCATGAACCTAGTGTGAGTTACACAACTAATTAAATTGTTGATCCAGTCTGACTGGAGTATTTGATATTCCAGAAGAATTCGCATAGTTGGGGTCTGAGGAGAACACATCTGTTCTCGGTTATGCAATTTTAAGTCAGGACTGAAGTGATAAATTAAGGAGAACTGTCAGGTCTACAGTCGTGAGTGCATTAGTGGTACATTTTTGGAGGCCAATCTGCAAAGTTTGTTAAATGCTACTCCTTGGATGAATGAATAAGTGAATGATCAATTATGTAAATTAAATATACAGGCATACTTAATTGTCTCTTTAGTTAAATATCCTAACTCTCAATAAAGTCAAATTCTGAAATACTACTCTTAGGACTTTCACAAATTAATTGTGCAGGGACACAATTCAGCCCATGACATCAATCATATCAATAATAGAGTTAAATGTGATTTGATAACAAAGGAAACAAATTGTCAGCTTGGATTAAAGTAACAACAATGAAAACATGATTCAACTGTATGCTATGTACAACAATGAAAACATGATTCAACTGTATGCTACGTACATGAGTTAGATTAAGACACAAATAATTTGAAAATAAAAGGAAGGAAATAAACATATTTTGCAAACAGAAACTATAAGAACACTGGTTTCTGTACTGTTCCTCAGTGTAATGTCTATATGAGATTGCTGAATTTCTACCCTATCCTACCTCTGCTTATCTTTAAGAAACAGAATGCCTGTGGTAAAAAGTTTCCTTTATAACCAGTTCAGCTGAGACTGGTTAGAATCAAGATCACCATCAAAGGACCTCAGAAAAATATCGGGTTCGTTATGATCTCATTTCCATGCTAAATGACACTCATACCAGCACAATGACAGTTGACAATCACCATGACAATGGCCAGAAGAAGCAATAAAGGTACAAAAAGGAAGACACACTCTGATTCCAGGAAGTTCACAACCTGTTTCCAGAAAAGACATGAATATTTCTCCCTTTGTTTTTAATGCCCAGTTCTTTCATTAGAGAAACCCTATATTTTAACCCCTTTACCCCTAACTAGCAGAGAAGCCAATTTGTGAGTCATGTTCCTGCTTCTCAATTCCATGGCCATCAAATAAATCCTGCAGTGCTTGACACTCACTTTCTGTTTCAAGTATTGTCTTTGTGACACCAAATAGGGAAGACTCCATCTTTGGGGGGACTTGTTTTGCCTGCAACAATACTAATATCAGACATATTTGACTTTAAAGCAAACAATGTTACTTGAGAAGAAAAGGAGCATTTTATAATAATAAAGTAGTTAATCCTTCAGGAAGATGTCTTAAAATACCTGAAACAGGTGGAATCCACTGCAGTGTGACAAAGCCGCTGTAACCAGACTGTCCCTTTGGATTCCTCCTCTCTGGGGAGGACATCTCTGAAAGAAAGGCAGCAGCCACAGTCGGGGCTTATAGAAAACTCCCATCTCCCTGGGACAGAGCACGTGGGGGAAGGGGTGGTTGTGGGCCAAACTTCAGCAGACTTAACTGTTCTCACCTGTTGATTCTAAAGAGAGCAGCAGGTCTCCCAGCGCAGTATTCAAGCTCTACTAAGGGACAGATTGCCTCCTCGAGTAGGTCTCTTACTCCAGTGCCTACTGACTGGGAGATACTTCCCAGCAGGAGTCAACAGACACCTTATACAGGAGAGCTCCAGCTGGCATCTGGCAGGTGCCCCTCTGGGACAAAGCTTCCAGAGGAAGGAACAGGCAGCAATATTTGCTATTCTGCAGCCTCTGCTGGTGAGATACAGGCAAACAGTGTCTGGAGTGGACCTCCAATAAACTCCAGCAGACCTGCAGAAGAGGGGCCTGACTCTTAGAAGGAAAACTAGCAAACAGAAAGCAATAGCATCAATATCAAGTAAAAGGACACCCAGGAAAATCACCATCCAAAGGTCACCAACATTAAAGACCAAAGATAGATAAATCCATGAAGATGAGAAAAAAGCAGTGTCAAATGGATGAAAATTCCAAAAACCAGAAAGCCTCTTCTCCTCCAAAGGACCACAACTCCTCACCAGCAAGGAAACAAAACTGGATAGACAATGAGTCTAATGAATTGACAGAAGTAGGTTTCAGAAGGTGGGTAATAACAAACTCCTCTGAGCTAAAGGAGTATGTTCTAACCCAATGCAAGGAAGCTAAGAACCTTAATAAAAGGTTACAGGAACTGGTAACTAGAATAACTAGTTTAGAGAAGAACATAAATAACCTGATGGAGCTGAAAAACACAGGACGAGAACTTCATGAAGTATATGCAAGTATCAATAACTGAATCAATCAAGCAGAAGAAAGGATATCAGAGATTGAAGATCAACTTAATGAAGTAAAGCTTGAAGACAAGATTAGAGAACAAAGAATGAAAATGAATGAACAAAGCCTCCAAGAAATATGGGACTATGTGAAAAGATCAAACCTACGTTTGATTGGTGTACCTGAAAGTGACAGAGAGAATGGAGCCAAACTGGAAAACATACTTCAGGATATTATCCAGGAAAAATTTCCCAACCTAGTCAGAGAGGTCAGCATTCAAATTCAGAAAATAGAAGATGGCAAAGATATTCCTCAAGAAGAGCAACCCCAAGACACATAATTGTTGGATTCACCAAGGTTGAAATGAAGGAAAAAATATTAAGGGCAGCCAGAGAGAAAGGCCAGGTTACCCACAAAGGGAAGCCCATCAGAAGAACAGAGGATCTTTCTGCAGAAACCCTATGAGCCAGAAGAGAGTGGGGGCCAGTATGCAACATTCTTGAAGAAAAGAATTTTCAACCCATAATTTCATATCCAGTCAAACTAAGCTTCATAAGCAAAGGAGAAATAAAGTCCTTTACAGACAAGCAAATGCTGAGGGATTTTGTCACCACCAGGCCTGCCTTACAAGAGCTCCTGAAGGAAGCATTAAATATGGAAAGGAGAACCAGTACTAGCCACTGCAAAAACATACCAAAATGCAAAGATCATTGACACTATGAAGAAACCGCATTGACTAATGGGCAAAATAATCAGCTAGCATCATAATAACAGGATCAAATTCACACATAACAATGTTAGCCTTAAATGTAAATCGGCTAAATGTCACAATTAAAAGACACAGACTGGTAAATTGGATAGAGTCAAGACCCATCTGTGTGCTGTATTCAGGAGGCCCGTCTCATATGCAAAGACACACATAGGCTCAAAATAAAGGGATGGAGGAATATTTACCAAGCAAATGGAAATCCAAAAATAGTAATAAAAACAAAAAAAAACAGGGGTTGCAATTCTCATCTCTGATAAAACAGACTTTAAACTAACAAATATAAAAAAAAAAGACAAAGAAGGGCATTACATAATGGTAAAGGGATCAATGCAACAGGAAGAGCTAACTATCCTAAATATATGTGCACCCAATACAGGAGCACCCAGATTCAT